TTTAAATAATGTGAAAATACAGGAGTGTTTTAGAAATACCGAGGAGGGAACACTGGCCCGCTGTGGCCAGGACGATGGTGCATCATGAGAAGGTAGCACTTGTGGTTGAGAAGTGAGGTTGGAGAGACACAGCGGCCTGGCATACGGGACTTGTAAATGCAGGTTAGTTTGGGCCCTGTTGAGGGATAATGAGAAGACATTTATAAGTTGTGCAGGACCATTTACTTATTTTTTGGAGAGATTTATTTTTGGAAAGATCCTGAATGGGAACGGAATCGGGGTGGATAGGGAGCAACATGGAGACAAGGAGATCAGTTGGGAGATCAGTTAGGAAGCTGCTGAGATGATGCAGAAGAGAGATGTTTTTTTAAAGGCGGGAGTCCTGAGGATGAGAGGAGAAAACAGAGTCAAGACAGGTTCAGGAAGTACATGGGCACCCTGTGGTAATTATTGGTTGTCAGAGCAATATGAGAGAAGACATTAGGATGCTCCCAGATATTTAGTTTCAATGATTGGGTGGTGCCTACAATTCACTGAAAGAAAGAATACAAGAGGAGAAGCAGGTTGGCTAGGAGGATGGAGAACTAAGTCAGTGGCAGCCCTGGAATTCCTCTATGGAAGGCATTCAGTCAGAAAGTATGCGGGATTTGTCTTGAAAGTATAGTTCCAATTATAAGCATTCTGCATTTATTTAGCATGCATGCTCAGATAGGATGGCATGGATGGCAGATTATTTGAAGGCCTTCTCAATAGAAGTTTAATCACCTTGTTTAACCAGACAAGGATATATGAATAACATAAATGTTTTGCATTCAAAGGGAATTTACCAGGCAAATAATAAACTGAAGACCTCATCTCGCATTATATTTTCATAAAGGTTTGTTTGCTTAGCTACTTGGTGGTCAAATATTTCAGTTTATTTCTGTTCTACTCTCAATGGCTTCATTTCTAGAAAGTTGCTATATTTCCTTTTATATCATTTGTTTTCAAATAAGTTCAGGGTAAAATCCTCTCATAGCATTTTTTTTTCTTTTTAATAATGAAGACCCTTCTGAGGGTACTATGTTTAACAAAATCAAACTCATTCTTTTTCGAGGTAATCTGTTTCTAGGAATTACTGAAAAGTAAAAGGAAGTTTTCCATAACATGTTTGATTTTTAGCACCTGAATCAGACCTTGAAAGAGCTGTGCAATTACAAATAGAAGCCACATCTTATTGTTTTGATACTTCTTGAAGCTATAGCATGGATAACAGAATGTCACATCATGAATTCGGCACTGGACGTTATATTAGTTGAGATTCTTTTGGTTGCAAGTGACAGAAACCCAATTTAAACAAGGTCAAGAATAAAGGGAAGGTCAGGTGCAGTGGCTCATGCCTGTAATCCCAGCACTTTGGGAAGCTGAGGTGGGTGGATCACTTGAGGTCAGGAGTTCGAGATTAGCCTGGCCAACATGGTGAAACCCCGTCCTTACTAAAAATACAAAAATAAGCTAGGTGTGGTGGTGCATGGCTGTAATCCCAGCTACTTGGGAGGCTGAGGCAGGAGTATTGCTTGAACCCAGGAGGTGGAGGAGGTTGCACTGAGCCGAGATGGCGCCACTGTACTCCAGCCTGGGCGACAGAGTGAGACTCTGTCTCAAAAATGAAAAAAAAAAAAAGAATAAAGGGGAAATCGAGCAAACCAAGGAAAAGGTAAGTGTGGAGCCTTGGGAATGACAAGATCCAGGAGCCATCACACTGGCAGAACACGCCATCTCTCTCATTTCAATTCTTTGCTTCCCAGTGCCTGTTGGCTTCATTCTGTCCTAGAGTAAACAGACTTTCTTCACACGAGAGGGAACAGAGGGCCTGTTGGACTCATTCTTCCAGCTCAACCACAAGTAAGAGAAGAGAGTCTCTCTCCAAGATCTGGTTTTAACAGTCTCAGGGAAGAAGAATTCTGATTGCTCTGGCTTGGTTCACAAACCCACTTGTTGAACCAATCACTGCACCTAAAGGGGCAGGGTCTGTATCAGAAGAAAGGATAGAAGCACACACAGATGGCCGTTCATCCAACCTGTGAAGCAGGTGGGCTTGGGTGGCTGTGGGACATCCACGTGAGGCAGTGAGGCAAAATCTGGACACATGAGCCTGAGGCTCAGAGGACAGCACTGAACTGAAGACATTCTGTCTGATGGCTCAGAAAGTTGCTGATTGCCTTGACAAAGTTAATGGCAGGATTTATTCCACAAGCTCAGTAGATAGATTAACCCATGATCTTTATTCTCAGATAACCCTTCATATGTGTGTTAATAGAGGCTTAACTAGAATCAGATAGTGAAGTTCATAGTTATAAAATAAATTGTTTTTACAAGAAAGTAGGCCAGGCACAGTGGCTCATGCCTATAATCCCGGCACTTTGGGAGGCCGAGGTGGGCAGATCATTTGAGGTCAGGAGTTTGAGACCAGCCTGGCCAACATGGCGAAATCCTGTCTTTACTAAAAATACAAAAATTAGCCAGGCATGGTGATGCACACCTGTAATTCCAAATACTCAGGGGGCTGAGGCACGAGAATCACTTGAACCCGGAAGGCGGAAGTTGCAGTGAGCTGAGATTGCACCACTGCACTCTAGCCTGGGTGACAGAGTAAGACTCTGTTTCAAAAAAAAATTTTTGGCCGGGCGCGGTGGCTCACGCCTGTAATCCCAGCACTTTGGGAGGCCGAGGCAGGCGGATCACAAGGTCAGGAGATCGAGACCACGGTGAAACCCCGTCTCTACTAAAAATACAGAAAATTAGCCGGGCGCGGTTGTGGGCGCCTGTAGTCCCAGCTACTCGGGAGGCTGAGGCAGGAGAATGGCGTGAACCCGGGAGGCGGAGCTTGCAGTGAGCCGAGATCGCGCCACTGCACTCCAGCCTGGGCGACAGAGCGAGACTCCGTCTCAAAAAAAAAAAAAAAAAAAAAATTTTAATAAAATAATTAAAAATAAATAACTTTTTTCTAAAAAAAAGAATATCGGCCGGGTGCAGTGGCTCACTCCTGTAATCCCAGCACTCTGGGAGGCCAAGGCAGGTAGATTACTTGAGGTCAGGAGTCGAGACCAGCGTGGCCAACATGGTGAAACCTGTCTCTGCTAAAAATAAAAAAATTAGCTGGTGTGGTGGCAGGCACCTGTAGTCCCAGCTACTCAGGAAGTTGAGGCAGGAGAATCGCTTGAATGTGGGAGGTGGAGGTTGCAGTGAGCCAAGATTGCACCACTGCACTCCAGCCTGGAAGACAGTGAGACTTTGTCTCACACACACAAAAAAAAAAAAAAAAAAAAAAAGTCAAAAGAAAAAAGTAAACTCCATGACAGCCGAAGTTTTTGTCTGCTGTACTCACTGTCATGTTGTCAGTGTCCAAAGCAGTGCCTGTTCGTGTCACTAGTAGATGCTCAATAAATATTTGTTGAAAGAATGAATGAATGAGCAAATAAACAAACAATATTTATTCTGTCCACAAATCCTTAGGAGGGCAGAAATTACATACAAGTTAATTATACCAAATTCTGATTTTTGCTTCATATTTCTGGGCTGTTAGTAATTTTTTTTTTTTTTTTTTTTTTTTGAGACAAAGTCTTGCTCTGTCACTCAGGCTGGAGTGTAGTGGTGTGATCTCAGCTCACAGCAACCTCTGCCTCCTGTTTTCAAGCAATTCTCCTGCCTCAGCCTCCCAAGTAGCTGGGATTACAGGTGCCTGCCACCACGCCCAGCTATTCTTTTTGTATTTTTAGTAAAGACTGGGTTTCACCATGTTGGCCAGGCTGGTCTCGAACTCCTGACCACAGGTGATCCACCCACCTTGGTCTCCTAAAGTGCTGAGATTACAGGCATGAGCCACTGTGCCTAGCCACTATTTGTATATTATTTATTCTTGCTGCTGGTTTTTCCAGTGGATTTTTCCTGTATGGGTAAGGGGAAAGAGTTAAGAAAAGGGAGCAGGAATGAGGGCTTTGGGTCCCCACTCTATTGGTGATAATAACAACTGACATTTGTATTACAATTTTCTTCCAAAAGTTACTACATTTGCTTCTCAAAATATCCCTGTGAAGCAGATGCCATTACCTTCATTTTTAGATAGATAAACAAGCTTAGAGAGACTCTCCCAATACCACTCAAGTGGTATTAAGTCAGCCTCCATCTAAACCCTAGTCTTATCATGCCAAAGTCCATGTTTATTCCATGGCACCTGGCTGCCTCCCTCGCTGGTTGTGTAGGCTGAGAAAGCCACTTCCCCTTTCTGGGCCTCAGTTCCTGCATCTGGAAAAATGCCTAGGTGATCTCCTAGATTCCTTTAAATTCTATGAGTCTAGCAGCCTTTTCTTCTCCATCATCTATTTTTAAAATTGTTATAGCTTTAAGAAGTACTAAAATGATGAGATGTGATTTCTGTTTGTAATTGCACAGCTCTTTCAAAGTCTGATTCAGGTGCTAAAAATCAAATACGGTATGTACAACTTCCCTTTACTTTTCAGTAATTCCTAGAAACAGAATACCTTGAAAAAGAATGAGTTTGATTTTGTTAAACATAGTACCCTCAGAAGGGTCTTCATTATTAAAAAGAAAAAAAAATTCTATGAGAGGATTTTACTCTGAACTTATTTGAAAACAAATGATGTAAGAGGAAATATGGCAACTTTTCTAGAAATGAAGCCATTTAGAGTAGAATAGAAATAAATTAATTGGAAATATTTGACCACCAAGTAGCTAAGCAAACAAACCTTTATGAAAATATAATGTGAGACGAGGTCTTCAGTTTATTATTTGCCTGGTAATTCCCTTTGTATGCAGAACATTCATGTTATTCACATATCCTTGTCGGCTTAAACACGGTGATTATACTGCTATTGAGCATCAGGGCAAGTAAGTTGTGTTTCTTCCCACAGAATGTTTTGTTTTGTCTCCAACTTCTATTTGTGCCCATATAGAAGTAAGCTACTTCTGATGTGACGTGAAAAACTTTACACAGAAAAATCTGTATTTGCACATCCTTTGGGGGGCTTTTATTTTTGCTAAAAAGTAGAATTCACACAGGAGGAAAAAAAAACATGCAAAATATTTTTGTGCACACTTTTAACAGGCTACATTCCACTTCTGAAATCTTACCCAAAACAAAACAAAAAGTCCCAAAGCCAGAATACTGAGTTAAAAAGTTAACATTATAAAAGCTAGGTTCCTAACACAAACACTGCAGATATAAGCTGCAGATATGTCACTCCATTGCAAAAAGTTGTGTTTATCTTTTTTTTTTTTTTTTTTTTTTTTTTTGAGACGGAGTTTCACTCTTGTTGCCCAGGCCGGAGTGCAATGGCATGATCTCGGCTCACTGCAACCTCCACCTCCAGGATTCAGGAGATTCTCCTGCCTCAGCCTCCCAAGTAGCTGGGACTACAGGCACCCGCCACCACACCCGGCTAATTTTGTGTATCTTTAGTAGAGATAGGGTTTCACCATATTGGCCAGGCTGGTTTCAAACACCTGACCTCAGGTGATCCACCTGCCTCAGCCTCCCAAAGTGCTGGGATAACAGGCGTGAGCCACGGCACCTGGCCTATAAATGTTAAATTAATGTCAACAATGAGGAGACAAGAACTGTAGCTCCAAAGTGTGCTCCCCACCATGGATTATGAAAAATTTTGTTGGTGTTGTAGGACATCCACAATGTAAACTTGAGCTAGACACAGCCTTATTCCTGACACTACACCAGACTCACAGACACTGAGTGAACCACACTCAAAACTACCTTCTTTTCCTGCTACATTTTAAGTGTTGGGTTTTTTTTTCTTTTTTTTTCTTTTTTTTTAAAATTTTTTGCTAGTTTTGTTTTTTTTTTTTTTTGGCAAATAAGAGTCCCTCAGAATCTATACTTGCTCTGAAATGTAGAAAAATTGATTCAATAAAGGACTGTGGTAAAACTATCCTTTAAGATATTTCACTTTTCTTCTTAATGATCATATGCTTTTTAATGATCGTATGTGTGTGTGTGCGTGTGTGTGTAAAACCTTTAAAAAGAGATTTTGGAAACTGAATTCTAGGGAACGTTTTTTTTCTTTCTTTCTTTCCTCAAGACCAGTCCCTGACAATTGAATAGATAGTTTTCGGAGAAAACGACTTAGGGCCTGTCAGTACAGTCAGCAACCTCCTTGTCCTGGCCTATTTGAACTTTCCAAAAATAACAGAATGCTCCAAGGTATTTGTCTGCAACTCCTGAAAAATCTCCAGGCAGTCCCAGCAGATTTTACTCTGCCTGCTGCTGTGTATTCACCTTCTCGCAGATCCAAAGGTAGGAAGGGCCCTGTGGCAGGAGCACATCCATGTCCCTCCCTGGTGCTCCCTGGGGGAGATTGGTGGCTTCCTACTTGGAAAAAAATAGGGGCTTCCTGCAGCTAGGGACACAGCTAGCTGCTTCCTTCTCCCTAATGGAGAGGAGACACTCAGGTAAGATGGCAGTCCCCTGGAAGTCTCAGTCCTTAGAAGAAAAGAGTTCTAATACATTCCCATAAAATATTTCAAACGTGCAAAGAGAAAAATCCAAAACAGGAGTAAGAACAGAATAGAGTGAGTTGGAAGACAGCCTAAATAGCGTGCTCAAGTGAGAAACACTCATGCAAACTGCCTGCATCAATGCCATGTTTTCGATGAGCATATTATCAGGGCTTCCTAAAGACGAAAGTGACTACACTATTTCCAACCACAGAATCTAAACTGCCTTATTTATCACCAAACAGCTTTAAGATGCTTACCTAACTCAAACTATCACTAGTATCATAAAGTAGTTTGAAGGCCCCTCTACTTCAATAAATACTTAAATAATAGCTAGATCAACTCAGCTCATACATTTTCAAAATATTGGCCAAAACAGCAAATGCATATATATCAGTGCATCTGTTCCTTCCAGCAGCTAACACAGTTGTACAAACTCAGTGTGCTGCATTTTAAGGAACATTTGAAATGGATGGTGCAGACCTGAAGGTGGGAGGTCCTGCCTCCTCGTGTGTTCTTACTGAGGGTGGCAGAAAGTAAGTTTTCTCTTCCCCACCCAGAGTTTGGGCATGTGAGCCTATTCTGCCATCCTGTTTCAGACACTGTCTCTCTGTCTCTCTTCTTTTCCACAGGCCACCAAGCCTATTTGAGATGGAGGGTACTGGGGGAGACATCGTAAGTGAGCAGTCACAGGTTGGGGTGAAATTCATGCACACGACTGGACACTCATACTAACGAAACCTCTTAAAGCTAAACAAAGGCCAAAGACAACCCAGAGCCTTTAAAAAATCTCTCACACACCACAGAGCAAAACTGGAAAAACCCAATTCTACTTTCCCATCACAATTCAAAAAGGAGCTAAGCCTTCTGGGGACATTGGATGTTTCAGACTGCGAGAGGGTGGCTGACAGGGCCATCTTTTCTCAGCTGTCTGCAACCTGAGCCAGAGCCCTTCCTGGAGCCCTGGCAATTGCCCAGTGGCTCCCAGAAGACATCTCTTTGGACGTCCGGGCTCCCATTAGAATGTTTCAAGTTTGTTCAAGGTCTGAAGTCTGATGCGCAGAGGTAGCTCCATGACGCTAGTAATGGAATAACACTTCCTTTTTTGGTGAGGAAAGCCCAATGGGTCTTAGCTAACAAGCTCTCAGCTATGACTCTAAAAATACCCTGCAGCGAGTGCTGTTTGGCACTTCAATTTGTTTGCCAGGGGAGCGCTTAAGAACTCCACAGAATGCTTCAGATTCTCCACAGCTGCTCTGAGCTCTGTCCTCCTCTGGTGACCGCAGGAAGTGTATCGCTTTGGGAAAGCTGCTTGTTGCTTTTCACTTTTGAGTTCTTGGAATTCTGCTCTAAATGTCTGAAGCACAATTCCAGTCTTAGATTAATAACTAGCTTGGTTTTGAGTCTTCATTTGGCTCCTAGTCTGAACTATGCAAATACACGATTTGTGTACAGAAGAAAAAACCTAAAATTATACTTCCAAAGGGCTCAGTTGCTTCCTCTCTCTCCCTGTTCCCCTCAGAAGAAACATCAGCCTCCCGAATCCTTTGTTGCCAGCAGCAGGAGCAGCTCTGGGCCTCATCAGCACAGGCGGCCTCAGCCGCCTACAAGTTGATGGTGTGTGCGTGCTTCTTGCACAGGGGTCTGTCCTTCTTGGAGTAGAACGGCTGCCCCTCCAGATTCACATGGCAGACCTGGAACAGAGAACAGACCTGTGTGAGACCCATGTGGCGGGGGACATGAGCAGATTTCAATCGCTCTTTTAAGAAAAAGCCCTGGCCAGGTGCGGTGGCTCAGTCCTGTAATCCCAGCACTTTGGGAGGCCAAGGCGGGCAGATCACTTGAGGTCAGGAGTCTGAGACCAGCCTGGCCAACATGGCGAAACTCCATCTCTACTAAATACAAAATATAAAAATTAGCCAGGGGCACGTTGGCATGTGCCTGTAATCCCAGCTACTCGGGAAGGTTAAGGCAGAAGAATCTCTTGAACCTGGGAGAGAGAGGTTGCAGTGAGCTGTGATTGTGCCACTGCACTCCAGCCTGGGCAACAGAGTAAGACTCTGTCTAAAACAAAGAAAGAAAGAAAGAAAAAGCCTTGCCCCATGCATTGCAGAGAAAAGGCAACAGCCTATTTCTCCCATTATGAATTCTTAACGACAGAAGCAGAGTACATGGGTTGGACTATGTAAAAACTAAGATTCCTGAAGAACACAGAATAAAATCAAATGAAATTAATTAAATTTAATGGAATAGAGAAAATACACACTATGAAGCTGACCAGTTCATGCTATCCAAAATGTATAGAGTCAATGCAAGTTCACAAGTCAATATACCACAGAGAGGATTCACATCTAAAGAAAATAGTAAACTAACAAACACATCAGAGAAGATTGTACTCACTAATAATTAAAGAAAAAGCAAATTAAAACTGCCCTGATGCCAGGCGCAGTAGCTCATGCCTATAATCCCTATGCTTTGGGAGGCTGAGGCAGGAGGATTTTTTGAGGCCAGGTGTTTGAGACCAGCCTGGGCAACATAGTGAGCCTCTGTCTCTACCAAAAAAAAAAAAAAGATTAGTTAAAAAAAAAATTATAAGAAAAACTGCCCTGAGATAGCACTAGACACCTATTAATCTAGCAAGACAAATAAAACAAGAAAACCTCAATGGCTTGTCACCTTTAACCTAACATGCCTCTAGCCAAAAAGCTTAAAAAAAAAACCACAAAGTATTCAATCAAAAATCAGCAATGCCAAAAAGGAACAAGGCCTACTGGTGGACTGCTGGAGACACACGAGTGAGCTCAGTGTTCCATAGGGAATCTGGCCATGTTGAACAAGAACCACTGAGATGTGCCTACCCTATAACCCAGTAATGCCACGCTAGAGAATTTATCCTGTAGAACCAACTCTGCAGAACAAGAAAGCAACCTGTGCTCAACTAGAAACTGAAAACTACTAAAATTTCTCTCAATAGGGAGATGATTCAGTAAATTTTCAAGGTATATTTTTCCAATGGAATGCCACCATTTAAAAAGATAGATATGGGCCAGGCACGGTGGCTCATGCCTGTAATCCCAGCACTTTGGGAGGCCAAGGCAGGAGGACCACAAGATCAGGAGTTTGAGATCAGCATGACCAACATGGTGAAACCTCATCTCTACTAAAAATACAAAATTAGCCGGGTGTGGTGGTGTGCGCCGGTAATCCTAGCTACTCAGGAGGCTGAGGCAGGAGAATCGCTTGAACCTGGGAGTCCGAGGTTGCAGTGAGCCAAGATTGTACCACTGTACCCCAGTCTAGATGACAGAGTGAGACGCTGTCTCAAAAAAAAAAAAAAAAAGATATGGAAAAGTATGCAGAGAAATATACAAAAAACAAAAGAGATGAAATTCTTTTTGTTTTGTTTTGTTTTTTTTTTTTGAGATGGAGTCTTACTCTGTCACCCAGGCTGGAGTGCAATGGTGTGATCTCGGCTCACTGCAACCTCCACCTCCCAGGTTCAAGCAATTCTCCTGCCTCAGCCTCCCTAGTAGCTGGGATTACAGGCACCCACCACCACATCCAGCTATTTTTTTTTTTTTTTTTTTTTTGGTAATTTAGTAGAGACAGGGTTTCACCATGTTGGCCAGGCTGGTCTCGAGCTCCTGACCTCAAGCAATCCACCTGCCTCGGCCTCCCGAAGTGCTGGGATTACAGGCGTAAGCCACCGTGCCCAGCCCAAGAGAAGAAATTCTATATCCCCATGATGACAACATAGAGTATAGTCTGAGGAAGAGAACTAATATTTGTGGGGGCTACCATGGATCAAGCAGGATGCCAAACACTATATACAGCAGCTCATTTAATTCTCATGAAAACCTTACAAGGTAGGTATGCCTTTCTCCCACTTCACAAATGAAAAAACTGGAGCTCAGAGGGCGCCTATGTCTTGCTTAAGTCGCAGACCTATTAAGTTGTAGGGCTGGGAATCTCTATCCAGGTCTATAAGACTCCAGTTCTATGCTAATTTTTCCCCTACCCCATAACAGAAAGGGGCTGTGTTTACTTGAAATTGTTCTGGGTTCATGGGTTTGTATGGAGGTAGCCCTCTGAGTTTGTCAGACTACTAGTATGTAAGCTAGTCCCTGGGTTGGCAATATGCCAGTATGTCAGAGTCTGCCAGGAAGTCACATTGGCTGGCATGGGTCCCAGCCTAGGAGAGGGCAGTGAAGATCCCTGCTGGGGGGCAGAATTGGGAGCCATCTCCAGGACACTGACATCAGGAGGAGTGCAGGTGGAGTCCACACATACAGGTATCCCCCCAGGAAACAGAAATCACCCTCCAGAGTTGAGCTTGGGGCAATGTGCATGTATCCAGTCCAAGAGAGTTGGAAAGGAAAAGGGCACCACACTGGCCCCATGTGCAAGGCTCTGATGGTCCAGTTGGGGACATTATACCTAGGATCACACAGGGCTTCCAGTGGGTCCTGGGAGCTAATGAGCTGCAAAAGTGTTTGAAAACATCCCAGGTGGATGCAGTGATGCTGAGTATAACCAGGCTCATGTGGAGGCCTCAAGCTGCTGGTGACAATTTAAAGACTAATGCAAAAAGATGGACACCCAAGATCTAACTGGTGAGAATGGGCTTTAAGGAAGACAGAAAGGCAGCTCTGGAGTGAGTCAGCCTGTCAATGACTGCAGCTGTGGCTGGGAGACCCTACCTGGTCTGGGACAATGCTGGTTGCTTGTGAGAACTTCGGGATGAGTCAGGCTGGAGAGAAGGTGTCCAGGGACTGAAGACCAATAAATGAGAAAGGTACAGAACCTCAAATATGGCTCATAGGTGAGATGGGGCTGAGGGTGGGAACCCTCATAGGGAGTTGTGCCCAGTGTCTTCTTGATGCAAGGTGCTTCATGGTGGAGGAGGCCTTCTGCCCACCCAGCATAGGGGACAACAGGGATGGTCTAACCCCCAGGCTCTGTGGCTGGGTGACATCAGGGCCTAGCTATAAAGGGGTGGTGACCATGAACAGTGCTGACCGCAGGTCCCAGCAGAGTTAGGGTAATAAACTAGGCCAGCTGCAGCAGCCCCTAGGACTGCCTACAAAAGTTATACCACTGCCCATCCGCTCCTGATACCCACACCAGTAGGGAAGGGCAAGACTTAGAGCAAAAGAGGGATTGGTAAGACATTTTTCCTCCACTAAGGTCAGACCCGGCCGGGCGCAGTGGCTCAAGCCTGTAATCCCAGCACTTTGGGAGGCCGAGACGGGTGGATCACGAGGTCAGGAGATCAAGACCATCCTGGCTAACACGGTGAAACCCTGCCTCTACTAAAAAAAAATACAAAAAACTAGCCGGGCGAGGTGGCGGGCACCTGTAGTCCCAGCTACTCGGGAGGCTGAGGCAGGAGAACGGCGTGAACCTGGGAGTCGGAGCTTGCAGTGAGCTGAGATCGCGCCACTGCACTCCAGCCTGGGCAACAGAGCGAGACTCCGTCTCAAAAAAAAAAAAAAAAAGTCAGACCCTTTCCATTGGAACTCAAGTGTCAGTGCCAGACAGAAGCTTAACTTTCACCCTGACTCACACTGCACTTCTCAGGCTCCCAGCCTTCACTTTATATGCTTTGGACTTGAGGGGTACTGTCCTGTTCTACTTTTGAATTGCTCACATCTGTTGCTTTGTTCGCCTTTCAAGATTCTAGATTCCGTCAAGGTAGAGACTTGTTCTGGGACACTCTTGTATTCCCCAAATGCCAGGAATATTTGGTAAACTGAGTTAGTCTAAAAATGTGCTATCTGAGATCTCACTGGTGAGAAAACAGCACATCAGCTGGGAGAGCTACTCCAGATCTTTCTCTTACTAAGTTTTTGGAAGTTACAGGAAAATACATGCTCATCAAAAGTGATTTGGAAATATGAAGTGACAGAAAGAGGACCAAAAAAAAAAAAAAAAAAATCCCTCATGTCCCTCAAAGTTTTCCAATCAAAAGATTTCTTCCCAATGTTAAAACTACGTTCCAGCTGGGTGCAGTGGCTCACGCCTGTAATCCCAGCACTTTGGGAGGCTGAGATGGGTGGCTCATAAGACCAGCCTGGCCAAGATGGTGAAACCCCATCTCTACTAAAAATACAAAAATTAGTCAGGCCTGGTGGCGGGCGCCTGTAATCCCAGCTACTCAGGAGGCTGAGGCAGAGAATTGCTTGAACCTGGGAGGTGGAGGTAGCAGTGAGCTGAGATCGTGCCACTGCACTCCAGCCTGAGCGACAGAGCAAGACTCTGTCTCACAAAAAAAAAAAAAAAAAAAAAAAAAAACAACCGTGTTCCACTTCACTATATGTTGACAGGGCAGTGAGTACCATGCAGGCTGGTTTGGAGGGAGACCTAACGATCTCCATGCTGATCCTCCAAAGGGCAGTGCTATGGGCCTCTCACAGGCTGGACTTCACTCTCTGGAACTTATTTGTAATATCAGCCTGAGCCACCCCAAGCTTTACGGCTTCTTCTGGTCTCTCTCTTGGACTTTTGCTGTTGTGACTCAGCTGAAATTGCGAGGCTTGCAGGAGCAGACCCACACTCACCTTTGCCACAATTCCCTCTGCATGTGACACAGACCTCTCATCAGCCCGCCCGTGGAAAACAGGCCTTCTGTGCCACTGTCTTCCTGGACCTTCCCCAGGTCTCTTGGATCCTTCCAGAAGTTGGGTAACCAGATGTGCAGGCAGTGCCTCAGGACTAGACAAGTCATGGCTTGAATGTAAGGTTCAGAGAGCCCTGTGCTGTGCCTGACACAGGGGAGCTATAACTCTGCAGGGGACAACCCCAAAGCCAGTATATTTACACCATTGTCTCTTTTTGGAGGGGATGTATTTAAAACACCCTAAAAGATAACTAGAGAATCTGTTCAAAGAGCTGGAAAATCAGAGTGTTAAGGGGTTGAACTGTATTCCACAAAATTCACATGCCAGAAGGCAGAGTTAGGAGTGAGCCAAGATAGTGCCATCGTACCCCAGCCTGGGCAACAACAGTGAAACTCCGTCTCAAAAAAAAAAAAAAAGCGGAGCTTGCAGTGAGTGGAGATCACGCCACTGCACTCCAGCCTGGGCGACAGAGCAAGACTCCGTCTCAAAAAAAAAAAAAAAAAAAAAGAGCAGAACCACACAGAGACAGACACACTCAGAGGAGAATGTCATGTCATGTGAAGACACACACACAGAGGGGAGACAGCCTTGTGATAATGGAGGCAGGGATTGGAGTTACACAGCTGCAAGCCAAGAAATGCCAAGGATTGCTGGCAACCACTAGAAGCTCGGAGAGAGAGTATGGCCTCCTGTCAGCACCTTGATTTAGGACTTCTGGCCTCCTGAACTGTGAAAGTGTTCATTTCTGTTGTTTGAGCCATCAGTTTGCAGTAATTTGTCAAGGCAGCCCTAGCAAACCAACACACAGAGTGAATACAGTACATCCCACAGATGGCAGGGTATGGAAGCAAAGTGTAGAACCGAAAGCATATGTCCGTAAACTTGATGACTAGGGTCATCCTATGTCATAAGTCTATAAAAATTATTCAAGTAAAAACTGTACAGGTATTTCATACATTTCCAAAATTTACCTTGAGAAACTCTGGTTAAAAAAAATAGTAGGGGTGTCTTAATTTTCCCAAATCAGCCAGGCGTGGTGGCTCACACCTGTATTCCCACAACTTTGGGAGGCTGAGGCGGGTGGATCACCTGAGGTCAGGAGTTTGAGACCAGCCTGGCCAACATGGTGAAATCCCCTCTCTACTAAAAATACACAAAATTAGCCAGGCATGGTGGTGTGTGCCTGTAGTCCCAGCTACTCGGGAGGCTGAGGCAGAAGAATTGCTTGAACCCGGAGGCAGAGGTTGCAGTGAGCCGAGATCGCTCTACTGCACTCCAGCCTGGGCAACAGGAGCAGAAACTCCATTGCAAAAAAATATATATATATCAAATCAAGATTAGTCAATGACAGATTGACATTAGGGGGCTTTCTCAGGGATGACTGTTTCCTACCTCTCCCTCAGAGTCTAAATGCCTGTAGGCACACCATCACGTGCCCACCCCAACCCAAAACCTTCAGAAGGAAAATGCCAGTCTCATACTAAAAGTGACGCAGCTGTTCAGCAGAAATAAGTAGCACACAATTAATAGTTAATCCAGGGCTTATCTCCTGGCAGCTATATATCAAGAAAGGACCACTTAGGAAAATAAAATGATACTCAGTCTTGCTTTCCAAAGGTTCTACCAAGAGAAACCCTGTCTCAGCTTTTCATAGGATTAGTCAGCTCCAATCTAGTGTTTGGGGTAACAATTTGGAGGGGAAAACCCTCAAGTCACTCCATCATATCTGAAGTGACATATAACCATGGGAAGTCAACTGCCCCTCTCAAAGCCAAGCATCATCTGCTGCTCTTGCCCACTGACAACACTGCTGGTGAGACAAGCCGCTGGTTTGCCAAACCCTGGGACACTCTGTTGTCTTTAACGAAATGGAAAGTAACAAAGCCACACTGGCTTATAAATAATTATTAGGAATGAAACTTTGTTCGACTGTGATGTATCGAGGCATCATGGTGTTTGCCAGCTTTTAAAAATGATCAGGATGTCAGAAAGCTAGCATGGCAAGGGATGTAGAGGGTGGTCATCTGGTTCCCACTTCCTCCCTCCTGCCTCTTCTCAGAAAGCCAGAGCCCCAAGCTAGAGACATACCGCGCAAATGAAGCAGGTGTCATGCCAGGTGTGGCCCAGGGCTTCAATGAACTTGTCGCCGGCCTCCACGGGGAAATCGCAGCCGTGACACTTGGTGCTGAACAGATTGATGTAGTCTGAAATGAAAAGCAGAGTGAAGACCACGCACCCAGTAGGGCAGTGGGGACCCAAAGCCAAGACAACCCCCAAATCAGTGGGCAGGGGCAGGGGGTGAAATCTAATTGGTTGTTTGTAATCTCACAGATGAAATACTCAGTTACATGACTGATAGTTTTCCATTTTCCAATCATTGCACTGATGTTCAGACCCAGGCTTAGACACCATCTCATGCTAGTTTGATTTGCAAACACTTTCTGGAACTGTCATTAACATTCTGCAGGGAGATTGTCTCCTCTGCTTCTGTCACCTCTAATAGACCAAACAGATCAAGCCCCAAAGAGAAAACAATCCACGTTTCCAAACGGCTATGCTTACTTTGGAAGAATGAAGGTCCAACGTATTTAAGAGTTATGGAATGTTCTTTGCTTGGCCATTCTTCTGTCATGGGGCATTTGTGTTGACAACAAGTTTTTACTACTATAAAGAATATTTTAACTATTTTATTGGGGCATGTCCTCCTCCTCCTTCCCTACCCCCAACCAAGGAGATAATGCTATTAAGTATTATTTATATGATGCTTTGCAATTTACCAAGCATTTTCACATGGATGATGTTATTTACAAGTATCTCAATGTCAGGGACTACATCTTAGCTTTCTTTGCACTCCCAGCACAATGACTGACACACAGTCAATATCCAAAACATACATAGGGAATGAACGCATTAACCAATTAATCAGTTAATCAGTGAATGAGTCTGATCACAAAATCCCTCAGAGATTGAACTATTATTATCTTTTTGTTTTGTTTTGTGTATGAGAAAATTGAGACTCAAAGAGGTGAAGGGCCCAGCCAGCATCCCACAGCTGAGGCACAGTGGGTCAGGTTCTGTGCTCCTTCACCAGGGCAGCTGTCCTCTCTGGCCCAAAGGGGCTACAGTTCTACCACACTGGCTGTAGAACATCTCTAGATTATTCTAAAAAAGCTCCATCCCATTTACAAAGCCTTCATCCCTCCTGAGAGGTGTACGCATTCCTCCACAACTCTTCTACAGTTGGCTTCTTCTTAAGTGATTTCCTGTTCTTCTTGTGGACAGTATGTCCATTCGTTGTCTTAGACCACGTCTTACTGAGTGCCAGTGTGCCATGGGGGTTACAAAATTGGACTCTGAATAAAGGAAGAGCTAAGTTCAAATCCCAACTCTACTAAGAAACATTCAAACCTGGGGTAAGTCACCTAACTTCTCAAGGTCTCAACTTACTTATCTATATAATGGGAATAATTATTGTACTGAACTCTTGGGGTTTTGAGTGGATTAAATAAGATAATGTAAGTGAAGTATTTGGCACAAGCACTCAAAAATGTTGGCTCTTATTTTGAAAGTCTTCGTAACTGAAGCAAGGAGGGAAGGGAACCATGATTTGAGTGCCATTGTGCCTCTTGTTTAATCCTCATGACATCTCTGTGAAGAGATAATATTCTCTATTTATTTATTTATTTATTTTTGTGATGGAGTCTTGCTCTGTCACCAGGTTGGAGTGCAGTGGCATGATCTTGGCTCATTGCAACCTCCACCACCCGGGTTCAAGCAATTCTCCTGCCTCAGCCTCCCGAGTAGCTGGGAGGACAGGCATGTGCCACCACACCCAGCTAATTTTTTTCTGTATTTTTAGTAGAAACGGGGCTTCACCATTATGGCCAGGATGGTCTCGATCTCTTGACCTTGTGATCCGCCCGCCTTGGCCTACCAAAGTGCTGGGATTACAGGTGTGAGCCACCGTGCCCAGCCTATTTCTTTATTTTTTGAAAGCAGACTCTCACTCTGTCACCTAGGCTGGAGTACAGTGGCACAATCTCAGCTCGCTGCAACCTCTGCCTCCCAGGTTCAAGCAATTCTCCTGCCTCAGCCTCCCAAGTAGCTGGGATTACAGGCAGGTGCTACCACGCCTAGCTAATTTTTGTATTTTCAATAGAGACGGGGTTTCACCATATTGGCCAGGCTGGTCTTGAACTCCTGACCTCAAGTGATCCACCCACCTTGGCCTCCCAAAGTGCTGGGATTACAGGCATGAGCCACTGCGCCTGGCCTAGTATTCCCATTTTAAAGGGGAGGAAACTGACTGAAGAGGTTCCATCACATAAGTCATAAGGAGCAGCCCCAGTCCTGATGGACTCCAATGTTCATCCTACTTCCATGGTTTTACGCTGTCTCCAGCTACTTATCGGCCTGCCATTGAGCTTTGATCAGTTACACTTATCTCTTGCATATGTTTTCCAATATACAGCTTCCCCTTTTGTGCCTAATTGTAGCTTGTCATGCAAATGCTCTTATGTATCCCAGTCCATCAATCCTCTCTGATGGAACACTTAATTTCTTTAGTAGGCAGAAATGCATTGCCTTGCCAGAGCTAAGAAAACATCGTACGGCCGGGCACGGTGGCTCACGCCTGTAATCCCAGCACTTTGGGAGGCTGAGGCGGGCGGATCACGAGGTCAGGAGATCGAGACCATCCTGGCTAACATGGTGAAACCCCGTCTCTACTAAAAATACAAAAAATTAGCCGGGCGTGGTGGTGGGCGCCTGTAGTCCCAGCTACTCGGGAGGCTGAGGCAGGAGAATGGCGTGAACCCAGGAGGCGGAGCTTGCAGTGAGCCGAGATCCAGCCACTGCACTCCAGTCTGGGCGACAGAGCAAGACTCCGTCTCAAAAAAAAAAAAGAAAACATCGTTCTGCTTCCTTTAGAAAGTTAACAGCACAGGTTGCAGTTCACTCTGTGCTCTGCAGGAACTTACTACTATGTGGTATGGGCTGACTCGTCTCCACCTGAGAACTAGTCCTTCACCCCACTTACGACTTCTTTCTTATCACTCCCAGGTGGTCTCATGGTGCCCTGGACTTTCTCTTACACCTCCATGTCTCTGTGTAAACCAGGCCCTGGGCTTAGAAAACCATCCCCACTTTCTGTACCTGAGAGAATCTCTGCAATCTTTTGTGCTAGACTGTACTTCAGGGAAGTCTTCATCCCCTGCCTACCCCAACCAAGAGTGATGAGATGGCCTTGCTGAAGGCTTTCTCTGGGCTTCCCTCCTCCATTTATCCATGTATCCTATCCATTCATTCATCATCTCCTTTTTTTTTTTTTTTTTAGATAAAGTCTTGCTCCGTCACCCAGGATGGAATGCAATGATGTGGTCACAGTTCACTGCAACCTCAACTTCCTGGGCTCAAACTATGCTCCCACCTCAGGTTCCTGAGCAGCTGGGACCACAGGTGTGCACCACCACGGTCAGCTACTTTAATTTTTTTTTCTTCCAGAAACGGGGTTTCCCTATATTGTCCAAGCTGGTCTTAAACCCCTGGGCTCAAGGGGTCCTCCTGCCTTGGCCTCCTAAAGTACTATGATTACAGGCGTGAGCCACCAAGCCGGGCTGTGTTCCATATTTAAATAAATATAAAAATTAAATTAAATGGTTCAAACAACAAGGAATAGTGATTCCTTCTCTTACTGGCTTTTCACAGATTAAGCTATTAAAGTGACTTGAATTGGCCAGGTGCGGTGGCTCATCCCTGTAATCCCAGCACTATGGGAGGCCGAGGTGGGTAGATCACGATCAAGACCAGCCTGGCCAAGATGGTGAAACCCTGTCTCTACTAATAATACAAAAATTGGCCAGGCTTGGTGGCAGGAACCTCTAATGCCAGCTATTTGGGAGGCTGAGGCAGAGAACTGCTTGAACCCGGAAGGCGGAGGTGGCAGTAAGTCAAGATCGCGCCACTATACTCCAACCTGAGCAACACAGCGAGACTCTGTCTCCAAAAAAAAAAAAAAAAAAAAAAGGCTCGAATTTACTTCTGGAATGCCTTGTCTTGCCCACTGATTAATTTTTCTGTTTTAAATTCGATTCCATATTATTTGGAGAATTGTCACTTTGTTTTAAAATTTGGTAGCACGGGTCTGATCCTAATATATATATATTTTTAAGTTGGCATTTTTCTTCACTTGTTTCTACAAAAGGAGAACGTTGCTGGTACCGAACAAAGTCTGTGCATGGGCATTTTCCACAAGGAGCATAATCTAGCTCCTCATTTATTTATTCCTTCCTTTATTTCTCTCTTTAAGTCTTTCTAATTTTCTTTGACTCTCTCTTGTCCCAAGCTGAATTACTACCCTCGCATTTAATGGATTTTATTGCTATTGTAAAAGGATTTGCATCCATCAAATTGCGGGTGCTCTGTGTTGAAAAGGGGCTTAGTACTCTTCTAGAGCAATGATTCCCAAACGTCAGAAGCACATGGAGGGTTTGTTGAAACACAGGGTGCCAGGCTCCCCTCTAGAGTTTCTAATTCACCAGATCTGGGGTGGGGCCTGAAGATCTGCATTTCTTTTTTTTTTTTTTTTTTTTTTTTGAGACAGAGTCTCGCTTTGTCGCCCAGGCTGGAGTGCAGTGGCCGGATCTCAGCTCACTGCAAGCTCCGCCTCCCGGGTTTACGCCATTCTCCTGCCTCAGCCTCCCGAGTAGCTGGGACTACAGGCGCCCACCACCTCGCCCGGCTAGTTTTTTTTTTGTATTTTTAGTAGAGACGGGGTTTCACCATATTAGCCAGGATGGTCTCGATCTCCTGACCTGGTGATCCGCCCGTCTCGGCCTCCCAAAGTGCTGGGATTACAGGCTTGAGCCACCGCGCCCGGCCGAAGATCTGCATTTCTAACAAGTTCTCAGGTGATGTTGCTGCTGGTGCTGGGACCACACTTCGAGAAACACTTCTGATTCCCACACCTAACTGAAACACCTGGGTAGGGTGGGGCACCCTATGAAATGCTGCTTCTGTGGGTCTGAGGTAGGTCTGAAAAATCTATTTTCTCTCTAGTTTGTTAAGTTCCCTAGGTGACTGTGATGCCAGGTTTGGGAACTGCTCAGGTGCAGGTTCATCTGTGAAGGGCTGACCCTCCTACCTCTCTTCCTTATATGCAGTTGTCAGCTTATCTTTGCAGCCAGCTGAAGCATTTTTCAGCCTAGACCCTATCATTCTGGCTCAATATGCAGATTTGACAGGACTCCCTTCTGTGTCTTCTTCCAAATTGTTGATTAAAATGACGAGACATAAAAATGAAGTTTCACTTCATACCCATTAGGATAACTACTATTTTTTAAAAAACAGAAAATAACAAGTGTTTGCAAGGCTACCAGAGAAATTGGAACCTTTGTACTCTGTTAATGAGTTTGTAACACAGTGCAGCCGTTATGGAAAACAGTAAGAGGTTCCTTACAAAATCAAAAATAGAACAAAATCAAAAATAGGCACGGTGGCTCATGCCTGTAATCCCAGCACTTTGGGAGGCCAAGGCAGGAGGATTGCTTGAGCCCTGGATTTCAAGACCAGCCTGGGCAACATAACAAGACCTCATCTCTACAAAAAATTATGAAAATTGGCTAGGCATGGTGGTGGATGTCTGAAGTCCCAGCTACAGGATTAGGTGGGAGGATCAACTGAGCCCAGGAGGACAAGGTTGCAGTAAGCCATGATTGTGCCACTGCACTCCAGCCTGGACAACGAGGAGGAAATGGAGACTCAGAAGGGGTAAATAATTTGCCCATCGCCATTCAGCCTGGAAGTGGCCCATGCGGGATTCGAGTCTGGGTCTCTCCAGGTACCTAGGTCTGAAGGTAAATCTACTTCCTCACTGTCTTCTCTTAACACTAGACCATCTTCTTCCTGGATCTTCTTACTCAAAACATCATTTTTGAGAATCTTTTTGGGGGAGTTGCTATGACAAGGGGCAGCAGTGATAATGGAAATCTATCATTCTTTCAAAAGCCTCAGACACAAATTGAGGCTTATCTCAAATAATAGAAGTTATAATGCTTTTTTTTTTTGAGACGGAGTCTCGCTCTGTCGCCCAGGCTGGAGTGCAGTGCCCGGATCTCAGCTCACTGCAAGCTCCCCCTCCCGGGTTTACACCATTCTCCTGCCTCAGCCTCCCGAGTAGCTGGGACTACAGGTGCCCGCCACCTCGCCCGGCTAGTTTTTTGTATTTTTTTTAGTAGAGATGGGGTTTCACCGTGTTAGCCAGGATGGTCTCAATCTCCTGACCTCGTGATCCAACCGTCTCGGCCTCCCAAAGTGCTGGGATTACAGGCTTGAGCCACCGCGCCCGGCTGTTATAATGCTTTTAGTAGAAGAATACCAGCAATCTGTATAAGCATAACAGCACTTTCTTTAACTACCAATCAATATCATATGCTCATAAGAAACGAAAGGACTGGTGTTATCTTCTCCCTTTTACAGATATAGAAACTGAGGCACCGAGTAACTAAGTGACATGTTTCAGGTCATTCAGTTAACTTCAGAGCTGGGAAGGGCATTCACTAGTACAAGAACCCAAGACGTTTCTTTTCTTTCTTTCTTTCTTTTTTTTTTTTTTTTCCAGATGGAGTCTCACTGTGTCGCCCAGGCTGGAGTGAAATGGCAGTATCTCAGCTCATTGCAACCTCTGCCTCCCGGGTTCAAACGATTCTCCCATCTCGGCCTCCCAGGTAGCTGGGATTACAGACACCCGCCATCATGCCCGGCTATTTTTGTAGAGATGGGGTTTCACCGTGTTGGTCAGGCTGGTCTTGAACTCCTGACCTCAGGTGATTTGCCCGCCTTGGCCTCTCAAAGTGCTGGGATTACAGGCGTGAGCCACCGCGCCAGGCCAAGACTTTTATTTTCTAATTCACAGTCGGGGAAAGAAGTTTTCATTTTGTTTTGCTTTTTCCCTTGAGGAACTGAATGTTTTCTCTTTTCTGGTTTTAAAGTAAACTAACTTACTGTGTTTCTCTTTTTGCCCTCAAATTTGTTACCTGGTTAGTCCCTGCAGCTCTGTTATTCTTCATAATCGGCATGCCTGCTTTTACCACCTCTGATTTTCTGGTTCTACTGTCTTAGCCTTCATGTCTGTGTTACCTTTTCTGGAATCTGCTTCAGAAAGGTCTGAAGGGGAAAGTCTCTGAATAAATGAGTGACTGACTCCCACCTATCTAATGACGTGCTTTGTCTCCTGAATTTACAATAATTTACTCGGCATTTTAACATAACATATAGCATTTTGGGGGTACAGAGAAACTCTGAATTCACTCAGTGAGATTACAGGAATCTGAAGGAACATCAAAGTCTGATAAATATCATAGGGGCAGAAGAAGGGGTCTCACATATTTGATGCTCTACATGCCTTCTCTGGTGTAATCCTCATGGCGGTTCTCTAAGGTGGGTGTTTACAGATTAGGAAAGTAAGGCTCAGAGAAGGTTACTAACTTGCTCAGGATTACAAAGCAGCCCGAAGTGGAACCAGGAATAGAATGAAGGACAAAGTCCATAGCCAAGGCCTTTTCAGAATAGACCTTGTGGTCTCCAAATCAAAATAACCTGAAAGGTTTCCCAAGTGGTCATAAGATGGCAACTTGTGAGCTACTTTTTTTTTTTTTTTTTTTTTTTTTTTTTTGAGATACAGGATCCTACTCTGTTGCCTAGGCTGAATACAATGGTGCTATCACAGGTTACTGCAGACTTGAACTCCTGGACTCAAATGATCCTCCCACTTCAGCCTCCTGAGTAGCTGGGACTACAAGCACGCACCACTACACCTGGCTAATGTTTATATTTTTTGCAGAGACTGGGTCTTGCTATGTTGCTGGTTTCAAACTCCTGGGCTCAAGCAATTCTTCTGCCTCAGCCTCCCAAAGTGCTGGGATTAAGGTGTGAGCCACCTACCCAACCAGATCCACATATTTGATGCATAAAATAAGCTATAGACTCTGCACCTCACTCTCCCCAAAGCTACAACCATATGGGCAGGGGAGATAGTTAACTTCCTTTGTGTGATATTAGCATGATTCTGCCATTAAAAACAAAAACAAAGGTTTCTTCCAGAAATAAAGGCCTCTGGGTGGCTGGATGTGAATGGATTAGGCAGGAGTTAGTTCCCTGTGCCTGCCCCTTTCTCCCAGTCCCTCCCAGGGCCTCCCCGCATGCCATCAAAGTGTTCCTACCTTTCTCGCAGTAGGGCTCCCCATCTTCCATGTGGAAGAGGCTGTTTCCGAAAGGCTTCTTGCAGGCCGCACAGACGAAGCAGGTGGTGTGCCATGTCTGTCTCAAGGCATGCATCACTTCCTGGGGGAAAGAGCCTGAGCTCAGGACAGAAAGCAGAAAGGGAGCGGGCTTGACTACCCCAACAGGCTCCTGCCACTGCCCGAGCATCCTACTGGGGAATAGGGCAGGAGAGCTCAGGATGCAGGCCTTGGTCACTCTGAAGAAAGACCCAGGGGCGGCAGAGAAGGGGTTGTCACTCTCCAGCTGGGTGCCAGGTCTTGTGCATTCTTACATAAACTGTGATGCTTAATCCTCCCATTAAACCTGGGAGGAGGTACTGCTTATTACTGTCATTTACCAAAGAGGCATTGAGGGTCAAGGCCACATTCTGGTGAATGGTAAAGTCAGGTTATGAAGCAACCACTTGCTTTGCAGAAGTTCCACCACCACTTCAAGCTGTGTGGTACAGGCGCACAATCATCTCTTGCATCAAGTTCATTTATCCCCAAGTTTATTGGTGCCAAACCAATTCCCTTTCAGGATAAAAATGGAGTTGCTTTCTCTCTGTTACCAGCAACTTCTTGGCTTCCTAATGGGACCCCATGATCTTGGGGAAGGGCTGGGGAAGAGACATGGGTCAGAGGAAAGCGAGGCTGTCCACTTACCCCCATAATTTTGGTGTTGCACTTGGCACAGAGTGGGGCAAAGAATTGCTCATAACATCGCTCACAGTAAACGTTGTTCTGCTCTTCCACAAAGCACACATCTGCCAGGGAACTCTTGCAGTAGGCACAGTTGAACTCCTCAGGGTGCCAAGAACGGCCCATGGCTACCAGAAATGGGCCCCTGGGGAAGCAGAGAATGGCACCCAGTAAGGCAGCCCCCAGAACTTGGAACTAGGTATTTCAAGAACCCCAACACTGTTTATACTTTTACCCAATAACTCTGACTTTTGTGACTGTTCTGATGAAGTAATGTGAAATTCAGAGAAAGCTCCATGCAGAAAGGTGATCATTGTTGCATCACTTACAATAAAGAAAACCAGGAAGCAACTCAAACATCTACCAATAGGGGACTGGGTAAACATATCATAGAATTCAGTTGACCACTGATAATGATAGTAAGATATCCAATAATGATGATGCTGATGGCTAACATTTATTAAGTGATTACTGTGTGTCAGGTTCTATTCAAGAAGACTTTTGCATTTATTAACTTGCTTAATTCTCACAACAATCCTACGAAGTAGGTACTATTATAATACCCATTTTTAGATAGGGAAACTGAGGCACACAGAGTTTGAACAACTTGTTTAAGGCCATAGGGCTAGTAAGTGGTAGACCCAGGATACAAACCTGTATTGTCTAGCTCCAGGTTAGCAGTCAGAACAGTGGGACTACAAGGACATTTCTTTATATTCTAATTTTTATTTTTCTGTGTTTTCTAATTCTTCACTAATGAATATGTATTACCTTAGTTTTAAATAAAAGTGTATTTTTCATGCATATAAGCTCACACCACACATGCATACAAACATACTGTATTCAAACAACAGCACCCATGGTCCATGGCTTCTAAGTGTGAAATCACTTGTTTTCATTTTAGTCTGGCAGATGCCCACCAACTCCCTGAGCAGCCCAGGCCTATCTGTGGAAAGACCCAGAAGCAACCCTAAAGGAAAACTGGGTCAAAACCCACACTGTCTTACAACATGCCCCGTAAACCTACTGACAAGTCTGGTGATTCCCAGAACTCAACCTTAGCCCAAGGGGGAGTTCCTGGCACCAGGCACCCTGCTGGAGCTTCACCCACATACCTCATGCCAACCTCCCAGCTCCCTGGGGGAGTGGGTGTCACACAAGTATGGCAGCTAAGGCTCAGAGAGGTCAGACCAGAGGGCAAGCCAGAAGGACCCGAGCCTTTCTCCCTACACCTGCCTCCTACCCCCATCTCTCCCTACCAGGGCTCAGACTGTGGACAAGAACCCTGCACACACACCCTTCCAGTGCCCCAATTCAGGGGCACAGCTGGACCATACCGGATGACGTTGTTGCAGTGGCCGCAGAGTGGAGTCCGGCTGCTGGCTGGGAAGCGCTCAGCCCTCTGGACGGTCCCCCTGGCAAGTGGTGGCACCTGGGGACCCGCCGGGGTGTAGGCTGGGCCCCCCCGGGGCAGGGTCTGCTTGCTGATGGAAGTGGTGCTCTTGCCCGGGGCAAACTTCTGGGAGAAGCTGTCATCTGTCACCCAGGGGGGACGGCTAGCAGGCTCTGCAGGGCCCCCGCTATAGGCCGCCGAGGGTGCGGGGTTATAGTTGGGAGCAGGCGAAGGGGTATAGGCTAGTGCTGGGGATGGAGTGTAGGTGGGGGCAGGCGAGGGGGTATAGGCAGGGGCAGGCGAGGGGGTATAGGCAGGGGCAGGTGAGGGGGTGTAGGCAGGGGTAGGCGAGGGAGTGTAGGGAGTGGGACTGTAATTGGCCCCTGGGGACGGGCTGTAGGTAGATGCAGGCACTGCAAAAGCCAAAAACAAAACAAAACAAAACAAAAACCCCAAGAAAGGTGTGTCAGGAATTCATTCTTCCCAGTTCCCCTCACTCCCAGCCAGAGAAAAGGAAAAGGCGGCTTTAACATTAGAGCATACAATTTCAGTTTTTTTGGGAGACTTGTTCCTGAACTTCTTGATGGCCCAGATTTGAATTCTCAGCAGGGCTTCCAGAGAGCTAGAGAGCAAGCACAGCAGAGCCCTCGACATGGGCTGGAAAAGGGACATGGCTATAAATATCTGCAGCTGTGCAGGGTGGGGCTCCACCAGGCCTTGACTGCCCAAGGCCTGCAGAAGACGGGGAGTGGGGGTGGGGGTACCTGGGCGGGAAGGGGTGGGAGTGGGTCAGCTCGCCCTTGACTGCACGATGCTTTCAGTTGCACTCTGACCAGTGATTTGACATCTGAAATACCATCCTTAGCATGAGTTTGCTGAACCTGGACCTAGGTCAGCCCTCAGGACAAAGCAGGTGACCTGGGTTTTCAGGTTCACGTTTCAGGTTTAGCTACAATTACTTTCTTGAAAAACAGCTCAGCTTGATTTGTACTGGGGGAAATTCCATCTTGGTTTGATTAGGGTGGGGGATCTTGAAGGAGGCATTCAGAGGGTACTGGGCAGAGACTCTAGGGTGACACAGCCCAGAAGTAGCTGCTCATTTGGCCTGTGGCTGCCCTGGGGACCCCTGTACCTCCACATCGCTTTAGTGGAAGCTGAGAGTGTGTCTGAGTGACTGTCTAAAGATTGTCCAGGCAGTCAGAGCACAGGGAAGAGAATGCACTGCCTCACTTCTACCACACCCTCCTCCAGCTCCCTGAGAGCAGAAAACCGTTTTGGGCTCACAGCACAGAAAAAGCATTGCAACTGCTTACCCACAGCCCTCTTCAGCCTGGGCTCTCAACACCCAGCCAGGGCAGACCCAAATGTACCCTGCACGCAAGATCCAGCTGGCCTCCTCTTCCAGCGAGTGAGGTTCCAGAAGCCTCACCTCATTTCAGTCTGCTCCTCGGGAAAGAGGCCTCATTCCCCCAACCCTAGGAAGCATGTTGGCACAGCCTCCCTCCCCATTCCTGAGCTCAGCCTGGGCAGGATGGACTGCACTGAGGCAGTCCCCACACCCACACCCTGCCTCTGCCTCCCACCCCACACTCCAGCCTCAACCTGGAGAGGAAGGTTTTTCTTAGGGCCCAAGACCCTGGCCCCACCTCCAGTCTCTCTTTCCCACCTGGGCCACCTGGGGCAGCCTGTGGCTCCCACTCTGCACCTTCCACTCCCAGGTGACCCACCCTTCAGAGCTGGATGACCTGAAAATCCCTGTGCTGGGGGTGAGTAGGGACCAGGTAGATAGGATCCATCCATGTTGTTGAAGGAAGAAGAGATAAAACCCTCCACAGCCCTGCCCCGGAGCCATCCTGCCAGTGAGGCCTTCAAAAGATAATACCGGCCGGGCATGGTGGCTCACGCCTGTAATCCCAGCACTTTGGGAGGCTGAGGCAGGCGGATCACAAGGTCAGGAAATCAAGACCGTTCAGGCTAACACCATGAAACTCCGTCTCTACTAAAAATACACAAAATTAGCCAGGCATTGTGGCGAGCGCCTGTAGTCCCAGCTACTCAGGAGGCTGAGGCAGGAGAATGGTGTGAACCCAGGAGGCGGAGCTTGCAGTGAGCCGAGATTGTACCACTGCACTCCAGCCTGGGCGACAGAGCGAGACTCTGTCTCCAAAAAAAAAAAAAAAAAAAAAAAAGAGAGAGATAATACCTTCTCCATAAGGAATCTTCCTCTCCTTTAGGGGTAATGAGGCACATAGCATCTGTCATCTGAATCGTTCTTCACATTATTCCCCCTTTACCCTCAAGGTCACTGAGGCTCAGACAGAGCTAGTAAGTGGGAATACATCTCCAAAACCATTCATTATACCATCCCAAGCTGCCTCTGTAAAGATCATGAGTCCAATTTCTAGAAAATCTTGGTGCCACATGTCAGGGAGGAGTCATTTTCAACATGGAGGAGACCTCATGCTGTGGAGTCTTGATAGCATAGCCAAGAGCCCTGGCTGCAGGACCCAGCTCTACTACTTCCTGGTTGTGTGTCCTTGGGCAAGTTCCTTAACCTCTCTGGGCCTCAATTTCTTCATCTAAAACTGGCAATACTAATTCTTACCATCTTACAAGGTTATTATGAGGATTAAGGGAAGGTAAGAAATATAAAAGAGCTTAGCCTGGTACCTGGCATAGTGTGTCACCAAATGTGAGTGAGAATGGCAAGGATGGGGACAACATGGGTGTCAGGGTCACATGTACTGTCAGCCTGTCTCATGACCTGCTGCTCACCTAGGGAAGCCTAGCCCCGTTAGACTGGTAGGGCCGGGGGTTGTGGGAGAGGAGGGAAGGAAAATGGAACATCTTGAAGTCAGATAACCCGAGACTGAGGTCTATTCAGTGGTGGTGGAATGCCTGACGCCCTGCCTGCCCCACAGGGCATGCTGGGGACCTGCTGGAGTGACATAGTGCATGGATTTTATAAATGTGTACAGCCCAAATTTGAGGTATTGTCACCCTCCCTAACAACTTTGCAGAGAATCTCAAAATGCTGCGGGAAGAAGTGATTCCAGGAACGCCACCAGGAACAGAGAGCAGGGAGAGGTGATCTAGCACAACTTCAGAGCAGCTTCATCCCTCTGTTATACGTAAGGGGGTTCTGTGCAACATTTCCTTTCTTTCTAAAGTGCAATTCTCTGCTAAAAAAGATTAAGATTGGCTGGGCACGGTGGCTCACTCCTGTAATCCCAGCACTTTGGAAGGCTGAGGCCGGTGTATCACCTGAGGTTAGGAGTTCGAGACCAGCCTGGCCAACATGGTGAAACCCCCCATCTCTACTAAAAATTCAAAAAAATTAGCAGGGCATGGTGGTGAGCGCTTTGTAAATCCAGCTACTTGGGAGGCTAAGGCAGGAGAATCTCTTGAACCCAGGAGGCAGAGGTTGCAGTGAGCTGAGGTTGCGCCATTTTACTCCAGCCTGGGCTACAAAAGCGAAACTCCATCTCAAAAAAAAAAAAAAAAAAAGATTAAGACCATAAGCCCTAATCCTGCGCTGTCCAATACATAGTGCTAAATGGCCAATGAGCAGCTGAAACGTGGCTAGTCCGACCGAGAAGTACTGTTAGTGTAACACACACCAGATTTTGAAGACACATTAATAATTATTTTATGTTGATATGTTGAAATTATATATATATATATGGGGGTTTTTTTGTTTTGTTTTTTTTTTGAGACAGAGCTTTGCTCTGTCGCCCAAGTTGGAGTGAAGTGGCACAATCTTGGCTTCACAGCCGCCTCTGCCTCCTGGGTTCAAGCGATTCTCCTGCCATTGCCTCCCAAGTAGCTGGGATTACAGGCACCCGCCACCACACTCGGCTAATTTTTTTTTTTTTTGAGATGGAGTCTCGCTCTGTCGCCCAGGTGGAGTACAGTGGTGTGATCTCGGCTCACTGCAAGCTCCGCCTCCCGGGTTCACGCCATTCTCCTGCCTCAGCCTCCCGAGTAGCTGGGACTACAGGCGCCCGCCACCATGCCCGGCTAATTTTTTGTATTTTTTTTAGTAGAGAGGAGGTTTCTCCGTGTTAGCCAGGATGGTCTCGATCTCCTGACCTCGTGATCCGCCCGCCTCGGCCTCCCAAAGTGCTGGGATTACTGGCGTGAGCCACCACGTCCGGCCTGATGTTTTAAATATATATAGTCAAAGAAAATATATTAAAATGAATTTCATTTGCTTTCTTTTACTTTTTAAAAATGTGGCTACTAGGAAATTTCTTTCTATTGGGTGGTGCTGTCCTCATCAAAATGACTGTTTCCACGTGCCAGGCCCTTTACGTGCATTATTTCAAGTAATTACTCGCTGCAATTCAAGGAGGCAGATAATATTTGCAAGTCCATTTTACAGATGAGGAATTGAGACTTGGAGGGCTTAAATGGCTGCTTCCAAGTCATCCAGCTGGTGAACTACTTACCTGAAACGAGCTCAGGCTGCCAGACTGAACAGCAGATGCCCGTTTAGAAACTCCCCAGGCAGCAAAACAGGCTTTAGTACGCCCCCTTTCAAGTAAATCGGGCCCTGGCCCACATTTCCTGCCTCCCTCCAGCAATACTAACCCTATTCCCCCTGCCTGGCAGTCGCTTCCCTCTATTGGAAGGCCTTCCAGACTCCCGGATCCACCTCCTTTTCTAAGCCCCCACAACACAGAGGTAACACAGAGGTCTCACAGAGGCAGGCTAGAATCTGGACCCCGATTTGACGGCTTCCTTGCCGGGGGCTACACCCACCCAGAGAAGGAACCTCCCCGGCCTGGGTGGCCCGGCAGCTCCGTTCCCCAGTCGCAACCCCCACTCCCGGCCGGTGGCGAGCAGGCAGCGGCGCTTCGCCGCCCTCAGCTTCTGCACCCTTCAGCCTGGCTCGCCGTCATGCCAGGAAAGACCTGATATCCCATCTCGCAGCCCCGGGGCTGTTGCTATTTCTGCGTGACGGAATTAAGCCAGTCTAAATTAGAAGGTGATATTTCATCTCTAATTGGCAAGTTCAAAAGGCCCCTATCGCACTCGGCGGGCTCGGGGATGTGTAATTAAACAAGGTGATTTCTGACTCACTCCGGGCCGGGCCTGGCTCTCCGCGAGCGCCTGGCCGCCGCCCGGCCCGCGGGCCAACGTGGCCGTCCCCGGCCCGCGCGCAGGGTCCCCGTGACGACGCCGCCGCCCGCCCCCTCCCGGGCCCCAGGTGTTCTGGGGAGCGGCCGCCCACCTCGGGCGCCAGCGATAAGATCCGGCCTGCGAACACCGCCCTCGGCCCGGAGGAGGCCCCGGGGGGAGCTGCGGCGGCGGTCCGGGGCGCTCCGGGTCCCGCGCGGGCTCCCCGCCCTCTCCGACGCCCGGGTCCGAAGAGCCTGGAGGGCAGTGGAGCGGAGAGCGGCTTGGGCCCACAGGCCCCACTTCGTCCGGGGCGCCTGCCAGCCGCCCCCGGACTCCACTTGGCAGCGGGGCCTCCCGGAGAGGGAGGTGGAGGCCAGGCCGGCTCCAGCGCGCGCCCGCCCGGCCGCCTCCTTCCCCCCGCAGGCAGGAATGAGTTAATGTCTGCGCGGCCTGGGAACCGCGCGGGGGCCCGCGGCTCCGGCTCGTCTCGCTCTCCTGGGCCTCAGCCCAGGGAGGAGGAGGAAGGAGACGCAGGGCGGGCCGGCCGCGCGCCCCCGGAGCCCTGACGCCGCCTGGCGGGCTGGGCGAAGACAGCCGGCGGCCGCCCCGGAAGGTGCCAGAAGCGCCTCCCCGGGAAGAGACGGAAATGTCCTCCTTGCGCCCCTGCAAGGCCTCGCCTCCACCCGCCGCTTCTCCTCCAAACTCCTCTCCAGCCTCCCCTCCCTGTGTCCTCAGTCTCCGCAGGGGCAGCCGCTTCCCACCGCTCCATCTAAGGCTTGTCGCTCGCCCTGCGGAGTTTTCAAAACGCCACCTCGCCCTGCGGAGTTTTCACCTCAGAACCGTCTCTCCTTGCTCCTTCTCTAGGGACAGAGAAGGGCACCTCCCGTGTGACAGACGGTGTGCTGGGTGCTTCATTCCATTTCCAGAACACGAGGTGTCCAAGAACATCACAGCCTGGAGGGATGAGGCGCTTTGCCTTCGACAGCAGAGCAGGCCCTGGCACGGGCCTCTGTCTGGGGCAAAAGCCGCTTCGACCACCCACACTCAACCCTGCTGTCAGCGAGCTTCATGAACCAAATCCCCGGAGCAAGGCCCACCCTGACTCAGTGCCTGTCTCATTTCCCTGGGCTCCAGCAGCAGAGATAACTTCCCTGGGGTCTCTCCCTGCGCCTGGATAGGACCTGCTCCCGAGTCCAGGCTCCACCTGTGCTGTTCTGTATCCCCATCACTTCGGCCAACTCTCGCACACTGGCATGAAACGGAGAAGAGGGAGTCTCATTCTGTCGCCCAGGCTGGAGTGCAATGGTGCGGTCTGGGCTCACTGCAACCTCGGCCTCCCGTGTAGGTGGGATTACAGGTGTGTGCCACCACGTCCGGCTAATTTTTGTATCTTTAGTAGAGTTGGGGTTTTGCCATGTTGGCCAGGCTGGTCTTGAACTCCCGACCTCAGGTGATCCGTCTGCCCTGACCTCCCAAAGTGCTGGGATTCCAAGTGTAAGCCACCAGGCCTGGTCCAGAGAAGACTTCTCTGTTCTCCTTTGCTCTCCCTTAGAATCATCCACTACTTTCTTGCTCACCTGTCTCCCCCAGGCCAGATGCAGGCTCCACAGGATTCTGACCCACAACTGGAGGATGGAGGGTGGAGCCTCAATAGCAAGACCTCGCTTCCCATTCTTCTGGGGATGTGACCCCAGAGCCATCTCTTGGCTCTTGCAACTCCTGGAACCCACCCATGGCTTTAGACAGCCTCCCCTCCTGCTCTGCCTCTTACCTGGCTGGTAGACAGAAGGCCGGATGCTGGCAGTGGTGACAACCCGGGGCTTGGGTGCAGGGGCGGCGGGGCCCTCACTGTAGCTGGTGTGAGTGGCAGGTGCTGAAGAGGCGGCCGTTGCTGGGCTGTAGGAAGAGGCCTGGGGCCTGGAACCAAGGGAGGAAGGGTTACACCCAGAAGGACACCCGCACTGGGGCCTACAGCCAAGGCAGGCTGACTCCCAGGGCTTCAGAAGCCTCTGTGAGGACACCTGACAGAGACATTTCTTGGGAGCTGCCAGAAACTGTGAAGGAAGGACCATAAGGGTCTCAGAGGGGAGGAGGGTGTTCCTTGGGTGGCTAGTGCCACTGCCTTTGGAGAGAGGGAGAAAAGCCACCAGCCAGACAGGAGGACACCGGGAAGACCCTTCACTGTCGTGGGGAGAGACTGCCCAGGTGGGACTGTGGAAGAGCGCAGAGGTAGGGGAGAGGAGAGAGATGGCGCTGGTCAGAACTACCTACCCCCATGACCTCGTGGGGCACCTCAGCCCCTGACCACCTGGCCTCTTCTGCCTACTCTTTTCTATTGTTGCTGGAAGGAGCAGCAAAGTCTCAGGTTTCTGGGCACAGATACTCCAGGGAGAGCTCAGGGGAAGTCAGGAGACACCCGTGCCGCTCCCCCAACCCCGTCTCTGCCACTCAAGGACCCCCTCCCCCCCAGCAACACACACCTTTTCTGCATAGAGTTCCTGTTGTCCTCCTCTAACTGGGTTAGTTGTCAAGGGGCCTAGAATCACCTTTCCCCATGTGTGGCCCTGGGACAATGGGGTCAAAGAGATTTTTTTAAAAAGTGTCCTAGTTCATTACCCTCAGCAGAGTATGTGCTTGGCCTCTCCTCCCAGAGAGCTGAAGGCTCCGAGAACTCCTGGAATCCAGCCGCCTGTTGAGCCTTCTCTGATCAGCGTTCCCCAGTTGTATTTGTTTGTAAAACGCTTTTCTTCATTTAAAACTAATGAACACCTTGCAAAACACATCCCTGGTCTTTCAGATCTCAAAGGGGACCACATGCCCACACCCAGGGCAAATGGGTTATTGCTGGAGGTGCTGGAGAAGTGAGTCCTGCCTGCCACCCCCACCCACCGCTCCATGGCTTCCTGCCTGCCTTCTGTCTGTTCCTCAAGGGCCCGGGCCCTGCTGGGCAGAGCTGTAGGATGAGGAGTGCCTTCTTCTCCGGGGCTCTGAGAAGGGGGTGGCCCTGGGATGAGAACCCACCACCAAGCTTCTGAGTGGATCCAGAGAGGCCTGAGGGGCTGTCCCAGACAAGGTGGAGATAAAATGAGCCTCAGGTAGCCAGCATCCCAGACCTGGAGGCTGTGCACACTTGCCCTGTCAAGCTGCCTAGTTTCTGGCTGAGTGAAGCCATTGTCTCCCCTCCCCAGGCCCATCTGCCCTTCTCTGGATAGATTTCTGTGCTGAGATCAGCAGAGTAGGGGTCTCCATGGAAGAGGAAGAGACAGTATCCAAGGGTTGCCGGGCTTCCATAGGGATGGGGGTGGGCCAAGGGGCAGTGGTCTTAGCCGGACTCCATCAGTGGAGGACACTTTGCCCGCAGCCCAAGAGCTACAGGTCCTGAGTCAGGGACTGGCTCTGGGAAAGGGAGCAGAGGCTTATGGCATCCATTGAAAATTCTGAAGCCATGCTCCCATGAAAGGCTGGGGGGTCCATTTGCCTCCCATGGGCTCCCCCAGCTCCAGCTCCATCCCAGCCCATGTGTGAGGAGGGGAGGTAGATTTGCTCAGAGTACAACCCCGTGACCCCTTCTACTCCAGCCCCACTCCCCGCTGGGCAGCCCTCTGTGCCACTCTCCAAGCTCCACCCAGGCCCCAGCTCTCCTGGCAAGGCAAAGGGAAGGAAGGGAGGACTCCCCCTGTTGGGGGCGTCCCGAGGGCTCCAGGAGCTCAGCCGTCGGCACGCCTAGGACACTGAGACCTGAGCCTGGTGCTGGTGCCTGCCTTTGAGCAGGGTTGGGGCCCCAGGGATGAGGCTGGACTGCCTGCAGGGCTCCAGCATCTATAGCCCCTCACCATTCAAATTGGGAGGCTTCTTCCCACTCTACAAGAGACATTTCTTGCCCTCCTCAAAATCTCTTCTTTGTGCAGGTAGCAAGGCCTTTATATGAAGAGATTCTGGTATAAAGAGGGGAAGCAGTGTCCTAAATCCCCCAGAAAACTGGGATGAAACCATCCCTGGAGGGCCAGGCTCCTCCTTCAGGCTTCAGTTGGGCTGGGGAAAGGCTGGTCTTGGGCACCATGCAGTTAATGTGAAGCCTGGGATGGGGGCAGCAGACAGGCCTGTGAGCCAGTTTGCTCATATCAATCCCACCTCAGGCTGCACCATGGACCTACCCATTCTGATCCAAGAGGCATGTCCTCCCCAGCAAACCCTGGGGGCCAGGGTGGGAGACTGGGACACCTGGGCTCCGACCGCAAACACTAACTGGCCGACTCTTGGAAGCCCAGACAGAGCGGGCCCCATCCAGCCTGATGCGCCACATGGCCACTGCAGAGTGACCTGTCAGCCTGGCCCCTCTGCCTCCCCTCTTCTCCCCTGGCCTTTGGTCTCTGCCTTGTTGGGTGTCTAGGAAGGCAGATGCAGGAACTCACAATACTTGTGTCCTTTGTATGTATTAGGTGTTTTACAGACATTTTTTCTATCATAATCTTATATAATAGGTGTTTGGTAAACATCTTAACAGACGAGGAAACTGCAGTTCAGAGAGCTTCAGTCAATTTTTCAAGGTTACACACAGTAAACTGTGGAGCAGATATAAATCCCACTATACTGGGTGCCTCTGGCGTTAACATGCTTCTCCGAAGAGAGGGGAGGGGAAGTGGGAAGTTCATGGCTAAACTCTCTCTGACGAAATCTGACCTGCCTTCCCTGCCCAGCTCCAGTGCTCCCTCCTCCATGGAGCCTTCCTTGATTTCTCCAGCCCACAGGGATGACTTTCATTCTACCTAATCTGAGTTCCAGGAACAAAGACTTTTCACACAGTCCCCTTTTGTTATCTAACACTGTGTGTATGAGTGTGTGTATATGTCTGTGAGAGAGACTGTTACCTCCCTCACTGGTGTATGTGTCCCTGGGGGGCAGAGTGACAGTCCCTGCTACAGTGGTGCACACCCCTGAAATTCACCCTCAGTTTCCCCTTCACACTCTGCACCAAGCAGCACTGGCCTTGGCTTCTTCCAGGCCTGTGGGCCCTAACTACCTTGGACACAGCTGGCCATAGGTGGACCCAGAGTGGGGCGTTTCCTGTCTCCCTTCCCCAGGGTCAGGCCCGGCACCTGTGGGCCAGTTACCTTGGGCTGTCGGCAGGACTTGAAGCAGGGGCTGTGGTGGCGGCAGAGGTGATGGCAGTGTGGGCAGCAGCTGTGGCCAGGGGTGGCGAAGCTGCACTGGGAGAGGCAGCAGCAGGCGGCTGGGCAGAAGCGGGCAGCAGCGGGGTGGTGGCCTGGCTGGTGCACACTGGCGCATGCTCAATAGGGGTGCTGATGAGGTGGGACCAAAAAGACAACAGGTCAAGGGAGCCTGGAGACCCCATGAGGCCCCTCTGCATGGGGGCAGGTGGGTGCAACAGAGGCAGGCTGGGCAGAAAGCGCCACCTGCCTTGCAAACAGAGTAGGATCCTCAGAGGGTATGTCTTCCAGCTCAGGGAAGGAGCTCCTCCAGGATCCCAGGAGCAGAGGCTCAGACCACAGAAGGGTCCCAATAACATCAAAAACTTTTTCAATCCTGGAGGCATTTCCCACCCCCACCTCTCAAATTTTTCTGTCCTTCCTAATTTTTCTTTTTCAGCAAAACAGTGTGGTAGAAAAGCCGATGGAATTACCCACCCAGGTTCCTCCCTGATCCTGTTTTCACCCTTCCTCATTCAGTCGAGGGCATGTGCTACCTTGGGAAGGAATGTTACAGCAAAAAAAGCAGAGTGAAGATATTTGAGTGTCAAGGACTTAGGCTCTGGAGTTGTGAGAACCTAGGCTTTGGGCTCTGAAGGACTCGGCACCAACAATACAGATGGCTGAAAGCTACCATGGCAGACAGAGCAAGGTTACTGGACAAAAGTGGGCACTGTGGCAAGGGGATTCAAGAATAGAAGCCCCTGTGCTCCTTTTCAAGGTCAAACCTGGGGAAGTGGCAGGACCCCAGGGTTCCCCATGCCCATGGTGAGGGGCCAGACAGACCTGAAATAGCCCAAAGATTCCCATGCCTCTGTGTGGCCTGGGTGCCATAGAGAATTTACCATGCACCCAAGAGTGACAAGAACATGGGCCTGAGCACCTGCAGATCTGAAAGACCTTGTAACTGGGAAAGAGAAAGGCGATCACTCTGCAAGTATGGACCAGATGGGTTGGGGATGTCTCAGCAGATGCCAGTGCAGGCAGAACCTGACAGAGGACCAGGTATGCCCACACGCCCCCACCCTGAGTGCCTTGGCATTCTGTAAGCATCTCTTCCCTAGAACCACTCTAGAAAGACAAGAGCAGTCAGAGCTGGGTGGCTAACTGTAAAATGGGGTGGGCAGAGAATAAAAATTAAATTATAGGAAAGCAAAGAAATGCACATTCTTTACTCTTTGATTTGTATTTGCAACAACAGCAACTGGATAAATGCAGCTCCTGCGAGTGGGAATGACTCCCCCCATTTTATGCCGCTTGTTTATTGACCTCATGCTATGTGCCAGGCATGATGATGTCTTTCCTTCCTCACAGCAGCCCTCTGATGTGGCTATCATGGACTCTATTTAATAGATGAGGAAATGGTAACAAAGATAATTCAGTTGCTCAGAGTCCTACAACTTATCAGTCAGAATAGCAGGATCTGATTGAGGGATGTTGTGATTTGAATCCTTAACCGGTACCTCGTGGAGGAAGAAATAAACCTCTTGTTGTGTTGTGATCAGCCAAGTAGAATCTTTCCCCAACAAAAGGCACTATTCTTATTTGAAATAATTAGAATAACAATACTTTCCATTACTAAGTGGTGCCTGTAGTCCCAGCTACTCGGGAAGCTGAGGCGGGAGAACAGCGTGAACCTGGGAGGCGGAGCTTGCAGTGAGCCGAAATCACACCACTGCATCCAGCCTGGGCAACAGAGCGAGACTCCGTCTCAAAAAAAAAAAAAAAAAAAAAAAAAAAAATTAGCCAGGTGTGGTGGCGCATGCCTGTAATCCCAGCTACTGGGAAGGCTGAACCCTTGAACCCAGGAGGCAGAGGTTGCGGTGAGCCGAGATTGTGCCATTGCACTCCAGCCTGGGCAACAAGAGTGAAACTCCAACTCAAAAAAAAAAAAAAAAAAAAAAAAGAGAGTTTACCCTATTACTCCATGTTATCATTTCAACCTCCCTGAGCCATTGGGAATGTGACCCTCATTTTGTAGATGAGAAATCTGAGGTCCAGAGAGATTGTGTCTCTAGTAAAACATCACAAAGCTGCAAAGTGGCAGAAAAGGGCTTGGGGCCTCACCACTATAACACTTTGCAAACTTACATGTGTGCTTGAAGCCCCTGGGGATCCTCTTAAAACGAATTCCTAGTTGAGTAGGTCTGGGGCAGAGCTGACAGTCCACATTTCTTTTTTGTTTCTTTTTTTTTTAAACTGAGACGGAGTCCCACTCTTTCGCCCAGGCTGGAGTGCAATGTCGCGATCTTGGCTCCCTGAAACCTCCACCTCCCAGGTTCATATAATTCTCCTGTCTCAGTCTCCCAAGTAGCTGTGATTACAGGCATGCACCACCACGCCCGGCTAATTTTTGTATTTTTAGTAGAGATGGGGTTTCATCATGTTGGCCAGACTGGTCTTGAACTCCTGACCTCAGGTAATCCACCTGCTTCTGCCTCCCAAAGTGCTGGGATTATAGGCGTGAGCCACCGCACCCAGCCAAGAGTTCACTTTTCTAACAGGCTTCCAGGTGATGCTGATGCTGCTGGCCTGTGGACCACACTTGGAGTAGCTGGCACTAAAGGGGTCTGCCCTAGATAGGAATGCAAGCGGGCCCTGAGCTATTTGCAAAAGCATCACTGAATTGCTTTCCTCCATCTGGTGAGGTGTATGGTAAAAAGAGCATGAAATATTGTGAGAGGGTCATGGAAGAATAGAGATGGAGAAGTGGCAAGGTTGAGGTTAACTGCCCCCATGGGAGAGAGAGTGCCATCCTTCTCCATAACTGCGTGGGAAGCTTTTGGGATGGGCAAGAGCAGTGGCTACATCTTGCCCAGGTCTTCCCTGACTTAATGCTCAGGGAGGCAGTCTCGGACAGCCCAGCTTGCAGGCCTGCAGTCGTGCCTGGCTCTGGCCCTTCCATGAGCCCGCTTGTGAAAGAACCTTGCTTCTGGAAGCCATGCCGGTGATGTGACTGCCTCAGAGAAGTAGATGCAGTCTCTGAAGCCACACCATTGAGCTGGCTGCTCAGACCCTCCTGTCAGTGTGGGCAGGTATGGCCTGGGATGGCTCAGGCTGACACAGAACACTGATCTCCTCGATCTGCTCTCCATGGCCCTACACCACACTTCCAGTAGGCTGCTGGGAAATGAGGACACTGCACAGGACCAGGGCAATGACAGTGTCCAGGCTGGGGACAGTATTCTGCAGAATGAATAGGAAGTTGGCTTTGCCTGTCTCCTTGGCTCCAATTCACTGTTAGGCCAGCTTACCTGCCAATCTCCCCAGCCAGAGCTCCAAATAAACCCTGGATTCCAGGGCATGAAGTTGGAGCTGGATGTGGGCCCTAGGAAAATTCATCATTGACCGCAGCACCAGGACAGTGATCACCACCAGGTATACCTAGGTATGCACGTAAGGGAGCCTGCTGCTTGGGGTTCTTGCCGAGTGGCATCCTCTCTGGCACCACTGTCTAAAGACACCAAGAAGCCAGGGCCTAGGGAAGGCAGAGGAGGCATTAGAGGGTGTCTTGAAGGATCTTGGGCTCTTATTCCATGTCAGTTCCTGCCTGAAGTTCCACAAGCCCCCAGAAGCATCCTGAAGGGCGCATCATAGAGCAAGCACTGTGGAGAACTTACTTGGCCCTGGCTTCATTCCTAAAGACAGTGCTGGTGAGATCACCCCAGCCTGATCTAAGATCTACAGTTGCCTCCTGCCTTGGTCATAATTCAGTTTAAACATCTAAGCAAAAACCAAACTAGACCCAAATGCTCATGGCTCCTTGGGGGGATGGCGAGGCCAGGAGAAACACAGCCTGGCTATCGTCCCCTTTTCAGCTTATCTCTTCCCTCAGTCTGGTCAGCATCAAGGTGGAGCATGTTGACTGTGTGCCCCTGCTCTTCCATGGTGGCTCTTGGTGGTGGGAATGGTGGGGTTTGGTTGATGCTGTTATTGATAACTATGATACTATGTCTGGAAAGGATGGGGATGGTGGTGGTGGTGATGCTGGGTCTTGGGGTTGTTGTCACTGGGCTTGGGTCAGAACTGTTGGTGATGGTGGGGGCCTTGTGATTGATATTGACAGTGCTAAAGGGGTGGTTGCCACTATGGGGGTGATGATGCTACTTGTGTTGGATAAGATGGTGAAGCATGAAAATCTCTGTTGATTGGGTTGATGATAGAATACCAGTCAGGTGGTTGATCTTGAAATTATTCATGCTGCCACCCACCTAGTCTACATTCTACCTTGCTGCCTGGTGACTATGGCTCAGGGGAACCCTGAGCTGCATCACTTTGCCCCAGGAATGCTCCACTGCAACTCCAGGGCCCATGCTGCCATTGTGGTCTAGGTGAAGAACACCTTATCAGCTATAGTGTGAAAGGTGCCCTGCAGCCTTTGCTAGTTCCACTTTGCCTTCAGAATGCATTCAAAATCCCATGGCCTGGGAGTCTAGATGCAGACCACTGCTAACCATGACATCCTCTGCATTCTCTCCATTCCAACCAAAATGATTAACTTGGGGTTTTGGGACACCACTTCTCATCAGCATCTCTGCTTGCTCTGCTTAGAGTATCTGTCTAGGCTTTTGTATCTACTTCCACCCTAATTCTAACCATTCCTGAAGATAAAATACACTGACCTCTTCTTCCAGGAAGCCTTCTTTGATCCATCACTTGGAGGGATGCTCCCTGTCTCTGGACCATACATGATCATCCTTGCATTGGGAACACAGTTATATTGGCCCTTTCTGATTCCTTTAGCACTCACAGTAGTCAAGCATCTCCACAAATGCCCACAGACACTGGATGCTGAATGAAGACATCTTTCCTGCTTATACCGAGGGGTTTACATGGAACCCAGCCTGGGGCCCCCCAGGGCACTATGTGAAGGGGTCTGGGGTAGGTGGGAAGGCAGGGCTTCAACTAGGTGGCTCCAAGAGGGCTCCTACAGGCTGGGGTCTGGGAGCAGGGGTCCAAGAGCCCACCAACTCTTAGTGGTTGGCTGAGGTCCTTTGCCAGCCTCAGGATATCCACTGCCCAGGACCTCTCTGTATCTGGCAGACCCCTGCCACCAACCCATCCTTGGGCCTTGCAAGTTCTCTATAAAACAT